AACTTTCACTCAATCCACAATAAAAACCTTAAAAAAAAAAAAAAAAAGATACTAAGAACAACAACAAAATAATCCATGGGATATCCATGGTTATTCCAGAGCGTGGCTGAATACTTAGCAAATAAGCCCTAATTGCAGGTCACGCACTATCTCCTCCCAAGGGCCTGGGGATGCCAAGTGGGGCCAACATGTCTTCTCCTTGGAACAAGGACTGTGGAGCCGGGCGCCTACTGGAATGACAACTATGTGCACATCTTGACTCAGCCCTGCTCTGGGAGATGTGAGCATTCATGTGGAGGGGTAGGGGTCTGGTAAAGGGAGGGGAAAACATGATTTTCCTTGGTGAACTTCATCCCATTTGGCCTGGTCCCCTGGCTGTGATGTGTACTGGAATTTGAACCCTGCCCTCAAAAAGATTGGCTTGCTTGGTGTCATCAGCAAACTTAAGCTTTAGAATGAGAAGCTCTTGATCAAAGGTATTATATATGTCACTATATATATATTACATACATATATATATATATATAAGGATGAACTGATGGCATGAAGAATATATATATTTTCAAATTTTATTTAGTAAACATTCTAGAGGTAAGGGCTGGGCAGGAACAAGGTCATTCTTCTAAGCAGATTCTTCTAGTGCCTGGGGGGTGGGTTTGAATTTCAAATTTCAGTGGTCTCCCTTGAGGCTGCGGGATCAGGTATTTGTGGCCATATCAGAATCCCCAGAAATGAATCCTAAAGCAGCTGAAAGAAAATAATTCCATGAGCCACCTAGGGCTTGTAGTTCTAAAGGGCCTTCTAACTTTTGGGTGATACCCTCTTTGGCTTCCCTTTTTGCCACATTCTCTGGGTAACAGCCACTTTGTAGCTCTCCCAAATCAATCCCAAAGCTTTCTTCCAGCTTCTTTTAGTACCAGCAGAATGACAAAGGATCTTACAACCTGTGCAAGAACCAATGGAAGGACATGGAGTGATTCAAGGAGAAACTCGAGGAGGAAAGATTATAGCCAGTTTAAATAATCTGATTACCTGCTATGTAAGAAGAGGAATCACCCTTGGTTGGTGTGGTTCTAAGTGTGGTAGCCATGTTTTTTAGAGAGACACAGACCTTAGCAGCTATACTGGAAGGATGAGGCCTTATCTCTAATACCAACAGTTAGTTAGAAGAGGGATAGACACTAGACCCAACCTGGGACAGTCAGATTCTTTTCCCAAGGAGTTGGTATCCAAGCTGAGAGATGATGTAAGAGCAGCTGCTGTTGTTGTTAAGTGCAGTCAAGTTAGTACTGGCTCACAACTACTTTATGTGCCATGGAACAAAACACTGCCTGATTGTGCGCCAACCTCACAATCATTGCTATGCTTGAGCCCATTGCTGTTGCCACTGTTCCAATTCACCTTGCTGGAGGCTGTTCCTCTTTTTTTGATGACCCTCCATTTTACCAAGCATGATGTCCTTCCTGATAATATGTCCGAAGTATGAGAGAGTATGTCTGGCCACGCTGGCTTCTAAGGAGCATTCTAGCTGTGCTTAATCCAACACAAATTTGTTTGTTCTTTTGGCAGTCCAAAAGAGCAACTGAGAGCCATTTAAAACCCAGGACATATAGACTTGACAGTGTGGGTAAGCCATGCTTGACCCTGGGTCTGACAAAGCAGAGAATGCTCTTTGCACCATGAAGTGAAGTGTAATGGAGAGGGAAAGAGAGGCAGAGAGACTGGGTTCCAAGAAAGAGAAAAAGAGCTCCCCTTTGGTTCTTGACCTGTGGTTTTCTGTGAGCTAGTTGTCTTTGTTCTTTGTTGTTTGTATGTTAAACAATCTTGAGTGAGGGCTCTTTCTTACTTTCAAAATAACCTAGACTAGGAGTCTTGATTGGGCACTCTAGGATAAGGTAAGCGAGAGCGGTTCCAACTCACCAGCCACTCCTTGGAAACCCCATACAGAGTTAACATGAGTCAGAACCAACTTGACTGCACTTAACAACAACATGAGACCAAGGAGCAGAACAAAAACAGGAGTAGAAAACACATGTGAACCAATGCCAGTTCAACATGAGGAAGGGACTCTAACAGAGTTGTATAGTAACAGGTAGAACATTCTCTGTAACTGCAAAAATTAAACAATGGCCAGAGAAATATGGAGACGTCTCAAAAATTTGGAAGATGTGTGGACCAGATAGGACCACCAAGGCCCTTCCCACTTTAAGAAGTAAAACGGCTTCTCTAGTTGAATATCTTTTCTATCTGAATCAAGAGTTGCAAATGTCTGAGTTCTTCTCTGGGCTCCACCCCCAAACCCGCTGTCATCAAGTCAATCCCGAGTCATAGGGACCTACAGGACAGAGTGGAACTAAGGCTGTAATCTATATGGAAGCAGATGATCATATTTTTCTCCCAAGGAGCAGGCTGGTGGGTTCCAACCTCTGACCTTTCAGTTAGCCGTTGACTACTTAGCCACTGTACCACCAGGACTCCTTCAGAATCATCAGAGCCTGTGTGAATCCCTAACTCCTAGTGACGTCACTAGATTGTGACCGAAGGGAAGCAGGAATAAGAAAGAAGGCAACTCCCTGGGTCAGTCTCAGATCCAAGTGAGCTTTAGAGAAAGTGTACAGGTGTATTGGCTGGAGAGCTGTATGAACCTGAGGTGGAACCACCCACATCACCCTCCCCTTTGCCCTTTATCATCCCACTCACAGTGTCTTATTGTTGTTGTTAAGTGCCATCAAGTTGGTCCCACCTCAGAGTGACCCTGTGTAGGCTTTTCAAAGAGCGGCTGGTGGGTTTGAGCCACCGACCTTGTGGTTCAAATCAACCTTGCCATCCAATGCTATTGCTCTTTACTATCCCACTCCCAGTTTCCTCCTAGGCTACCTAATTTCTAAGAAGGTCCAGTTTTACCGATTCTGAAAGAATCTGCATACTGCTCTGGAAACTTGTGACCTCCTTGTGAAGACTGAGGTGCACCACTGGCTGAGAAGATGGGAGGATTCTTTCTGTCCCCCACCCCACCCCCCGTGCAGCAGCTCCTCTCCCTCCAGAACTCCTTACTTCATAAAATCTGGAGACTTGGCCATTGCATGTTCAAACTCTGAGAAAGAGAGCATGTTGTCATTATCCAGATCAGACTCACTAAGGACCTACCACGTGGAAGTGGGGAAGGAAGCAGAGGAACACAGTGTCAGGGTGGTGAAATGGGGAAGGCAGGGGTATGGAGGGAATTACTACATGTTGAATGGCTCCTATGTCCCCACCTCTGCCAGATGCTAACACTCATCTCATTTCCTTGAGTCCTTCTGACCTTCTGTGACCATTCCACAGATTAGAACCTGAAGTTCAAAAAGATGACTTTATTTGCACTAAGGTTTGGATCTTATGGGTTGGGTCTACTCAAGGAATATTCCTCTTGGTGACACATACTTGGCAGGAAGAGCAGGAGGTCCAGGGGATACCTATTATGGTCTGAATTGTACTCCCCAAAAGATATGCTGAAGTTCTAGTCCCTACACCTATGAATGTGACCTTGTTTGGAAGTAGTCTTTGAAGCTATTATTGGTTAGGTTAGTATGAAGTCGTATTGGAGTAGGTGGGTCCAAATCCTAAATGAATGGTGTCTTCATGAAGCAGAAGGTACACACAGAGGGGGAGATAGAGGAACACGTGACATTACAGTTGTAAGCCAAGGACCACCTGGAACCACCAGAAACTGGCAACGAGGTATGAGACAGATTGCCCCTCAGAGCCTCAGAAAGAATCAACATGACAGACACCAGCCTCCAGAACTGTGAGGCAATAAACTTTTGTTCTTGTAAACCATCCAGTTTGTGATCATTTGTTACAGCAGTTCGAGGATATGAATACAATTTGCATCCCTACCCCCTGCCACCCAGTCACAGGGGTTTTGTGTTATAAGGGCTCCAGACAGGCAGAAGTTCCCCTCAACAGAGCACTCATGATTTTATCTTTGTTTCTAGTTTCCATCCAGACCAAAAACACTTGAAGGTTTTCATGGTCTACAACAAATAGAACCAGGCCATGTCTTGGGTTCCTGAGGCTGTCTTCAGATCTTTCACACTTTGGACTGTCACTTGGGGATACCTGGGTATTGAGCTGTGCTGGGATTGTGGTGAGGGCAGTAAATACAGGGCATTGTGATGTGTCCATCTGATGCTAATCTTCCTTTTGGCTTCTCTGCCTGGAATTACTATAGTGTTGGTGAAGGGTCTCCTTGAAATGGGTGGGTCAAGGCACACTGCATGTTGTCCCTGGGAAGGAATCACCATCTTGAAGGAAGGACAGGAAATTGAGGAGTAATAGTCTCTGGCTGTGTACTCATCTCTTGTGGTGCTTGCCTTCCACTGGAGTCCCATGGTGTGTGTGTGTGCACACCTGTTCTTGTTTGTTATTGTCGCGAGGTGCCATTGAGTTGATTCCAAGTCACAGTGACCATATGCATAACACAAGGAAACACTGCCTGATCCTGCGCCATCCTCACAGTTGTTGTCGCATTTGAGGACATTGCTGCTGCCACTGCATCTCATTGGAGGGTCTTTCTTTTTTTGATTACACTCCACTTTACCAACCATAATGTTCTTCTCCAGTGACTGGTCCTTCCTGATTGTATGTCAGAAGTGTGAGAAACAAAGTTTGGCCATCCTGGCTTCTAAGGACCATTCTGACTGCAGTTCTTCCAACACAGATTTGTTTGCTCTTCTGGCAGTCCATGGTACTTTTAATATTCTTCTCTAACACCATAACTCAAATGCATCAATTCTTCTACAGTCTTCCTTATTCATTGTCCAACTTTCAAATGCATATGAGGCAATTGAATATACCGTGGTCTTCCTTGTTTTTGTTCATTGTTAAGTGCCACTGAGTCAGTTTTGACTTATAGTGACCCTCTATAGGGTTTGTTGTTGTTGTTGTTATGTGCCTTGGAGTCAGTTCTTACTCAAAGCGACCCTGTACAGGGTTTCTGAGGCTATAAATCTTTACAGGAGCAGAAAGCCTCATCTTTCTCCCGTGGAAGAGCTGGTAGTTTCGAACTGCTAACCATGAGATTAGCAGCCCGATTCATAACCACTATAGGGTTTATGAGGCTTTAAATCTTCAAGGGAGCATAAAGACTTACCTTTCTTCTGTGGAGCATCTGGCAGCCTCTGACCATAGACCTTGTGGTTCGTAGTCCAGTGCTTATCATATGGAGCCTCCTCGCTTCCAGTCTTCCTTGTAGGCATATGGATAGTATACTATCACAGACAGCATTGTACTTCAAGATATGTTGAAGTACAATGAAATGTTCTTTTTGATGAATGTGATGCCATTCTTCTTCAGTTTGCCATTCTGGCATAGTAAAACCATTATGACTGTCGGATTCAGAATGGACAATATCAGTCCTTTTTAGGTATTTAATGCTTAGGATACCTATGTTTATGCATTCCATTTGAGTTGTGTCCCATCAGAAAATGAAGATCCCAAATACTTTACTCCATTCTTGTTATCAAGGTACACTTTGAGGTGGCAGCTCTTCTCTAGTCATATTTTGAGTGTCTTCCAACCTGGCATAGAGAATGTGCCCTTTGGGCATTTATAGACTGGCTAAAGGAGCTTTGTAACACTTGCATCAGTAGGGCAAAGGCTGAGAGGCCACATGACTGAGCACCGAAGACAAGAGAACGGCGTGCCTGCAGCACAGCAGAGAAGAGGCGCTCCAGACTAGAGAGCTGCTGCATCCTGAGTTGTTTCTAAGAAACCCCATAATCATGAGTATTGTCTGTGAGTTCTGTGTGACCATCAAAATGGATTATGGAACTCAGATGTTAAGCAGAGAGGGTTGTGGGAGGAATGGTTGGTGTCAGAAGAGGGTAAAGAAGGTTGGAGGGTGGAGGCATGTCTGATCTCCACCTCACAGGAATTGGCTTTGGGCTGATTTTGAGTTTAATTCTCTCCTTTCCCCCTATGAAACTAGAGGAAGTCAGATATGGCCCCCATGATGTTTTTACTGCACCAGAGGTCAATATGCTATCAGCTTCAGTCTTGGTCTTGAGTATGAACCATCTTCTCCCAAGATGGGCAGCATGACATCTAGAGGGGTTGAGCAATAACCTGCCATCCCAGCCCTCACCCCACAGGTACACACGTGATTTATAAGGTCGATCAACAAGTCCTCAGATACATCATCACTGTTCAGCAGTCGGAGGATAATACTCTGAAGATCCTCCTCATCTATGAAGCCATTCTCATTAAAATCTGGAAGAGACACAGCCTGAGTTAGAGGGAGTTGGTGGTGACTGGACAGGAAGTGGGCTTCCTCTGTTTGAAGAGCTTGGGGCCTTATGGTACCAACCAGGTGTTCAAAGGCTACCACCAGGCTCTAGGAGGCTCCAAAGAACCTACCTGGCCTAGGTATGACTGGAACCTCTGACTCAGTGTGATCTGGATAAGCCTAAGGGGTGCAGTAGAAGCAGGGCAGGCTGCAGGCAAATTTGGTGCTAAATAACAAAGTACAAATGAGCTTCCTATGTGACCAGACATGCTCTGTGAGCTTTACCTATTTTAAGTAGTTAAATGTTCACAAGCAACCTTTTATTATTCTCATTTTACCAACACGGAAACAGAGGCACAGAAAAGTCCTATGATTAGTTCTCATTTATGCCATCAGTAAGTGGAAGGACTGGGATTCAAACTTCAATTGGTCTCTGAAGCCACTTGTTCAATCACCATGCTGTGGAGATCTCCATCTCAAGCTCAGAAGCCAATGTGTCTTTCAGTGTCTTAGGAGCTAGGCAGCACAGAGAAGTGGAGAAAGCTGCGCTTGGAGACACAAGACCTAGACACATGTCCCTGCTCTTGAGCTGCTAGTAGCTGTGTAACTGTGGCATGTGAAACAGACACAGGGGTCCTTGCCCTGCAGGGCAGCCTGTGTCACATGATGTTGGAGTGTGGATTCTAGATCCATCCCCACAAGGTCAGGGGACAACAGGCAAGTGTCCCTCCAGTCCTGTGCAGCTCCATCCTTGTGTGCCCCTGGAGACCCAGATTGGGTAGAAATGTGCCTCATCCCAGGCAAGAAAAACAAGACTGTCAGAGAAAGGAGGAGGAGGAAAGGGAAGGGAGGCTTCAGCCCAAAGGGACTTTTCAAGGTCTTCAATCCCCCAAATGGCCCTGGCGTGCACAGCAGGCAAAGGTAGTGGGAGCCGCCAGGGCAGTGGGGAGAGTGGTGCAGTGAGCTAGTACCACTGTTTGGGCTGGATACATGCTACAACCATAGTCCTGGTGTCCCTGATTTCTAGGACATTGTCCAGTTTCCACCTACTGTCCTGCTCATTTGGGAAGCCCCTGGACCCTCGTCAGAACTTAGATCCTCCTTTTTGGGACAGAAATATGGTTATGTCCCCTGAACATAGGAAAGCTAGGGTCTATTTTAACCCTCTTCCTACAGAGACACTTGAAAGTGTGTTCCTCATCCTTTCTTGGACCCACTACAGGACTTCAGAACAGGTTTCAGGCACTTTTCCCTTTGGAACTTTTCGGAGTGGTCCTGTCCTGAATGCTTTCCTCCTCCAAGCACTGTGAAATGCTCCGACTCTACTCTAGGATTTGAGACCCTTTCTGACTCTGTCACGTTCCTATCTCAGAGGTTTAGCACTGTGGGTCCCACTTCCTGGACCACTTCACTCCAAACATCCTGGGTCTCTACTCAAATACCAGCATCTCATTAAAGCCCTACCCAGCACCTGTTTAAAGTTGTACTTCCTGCTCCCTCTGCAGCTGTATTATTTCTCCCAGAACTCAATACTCAACGCCTAACACACTCTAAGTTTTACTTCTAGCTTGTTCGTTTCCCCTCTTGTTAGGTGCTGTTGAGTCAATTCTGACATGTAGTGACCTTATACACAGAAGAACAATATACTGCCTGGTCCTGTGCCCTCCTCACAATTGTTGTTAAGCTTAAGCCCATTGCTGCTGCTATTGTCCAATCAACTCGTTGGAGGTCTTCCTTTATTTCTCCTACCCTTCACTTTGACAAGCATGATGTTCTTCTCTAAGGACTTATTCCTCCTGACAGTATGTCTGAAATATGAGAGTTGTGGGATGACATCAAGAACACTATACAGGAAAAAAACAAAGTCATTAAGAAGGCAAGAAAGAAAGAAAACACCAAAATGGATGTCAGAACAGACTGCAACTTGCTCTCCAGTGTAGAGATGCTAGAACAAATTGAAGAAATGAGGAAGCAAATTCTGGACAGAAAATTTTAAAGGTTGATTAGAGAAGACAAAGTGAAATATTATAATGAAATGTACAAAGATCTGGAATTAGAAAACCAAGGGGGAGAAACACACTCAACATTTCTCAAGCTGAAAGAACTAAGGGAAAACTTCAAGCATCAACTTTCAATACTTAAGGATTTTTTGGACAAGATATTGAATGATACAGAAAGCATCAACCGAAGATGGAAGGAGTCACTGTACAAAAAAGAAATGGTCGATGTTCAACCGTTTCAAGAGGTAGCATATAATTAAGAGTCAATGGCACTGAAGAAAGAAGTCCAAGCTGCACTGTATGCACTGCCAAAGAACAAGCCTCTGGGAACTGATGAAACACAAACTGAAATCTTTCCCAACCTCCCTTGCTGCTAGAAGTGGTCAAGTAACTGGCCAGAGACATGTAAGCAGAAAAGGTACATGTAACTTCTGAGACTGTGTTTAGATAAAAGGTACAGCCCTACCAGACTGTGAGGCAACCTTGATAATGGAAGGTAGAACAATGAGACAGAAGGAGGTGGAGTCTCTGACACTGTGGAGCTTTAGAACCATCATGAATGAACATTTATCTCTGGATTTCTACATATTACAGAAATAAGCATGTAACTTTCCACTATCTCATTCAAATCACTGTTCTTTAGGGTTTTCTGCCATTTGCCATCAAATTTGACTCTTATTCATTATCTAAGTCTCAGTTTCCTAATATGTAAAATGGGGAAAATAGCAGTATCTCCACACACATGCAGTGAAGACTGAAAAGAAAATGCATGTAAGTTGCTTAGTGTAGAGAATAGATAGATATAAGAGAGTCTCAATTCTGTATCATTTGATGATTGTTAAATATTACAAATGTAAACCTTAAGAGACTTTATAATACAGAGTTAAATTGGTCTCATTAGAGAAACTGAGGCCCAGAGTGGAGACCTGAGTCTGTTGATGTCACAGGTGTCCTTCAGTGGCAGAACCAAAACTGAGAAACTGAGGCCCAAACCGAAGCCTCTGTGCCCCAAGGCAGGATATAAAGATGCAAAGTGTAACTCATCACCTCACTCCTCAAAACAAGTGCCTCTCTCCTGGCTGAGTGTTGCCAGTCCCAGTGATGGGAGGCTAAAGCTGTCCCGACACAGCTTTGTCATCACACACTGCGGGTAAAGGCTCAGAGCAGGCGAAGGACAGGGGCAGCTGCAGTGATACTGCACTGCTGATGAGCGGCTCTCTATGGCCTTTCCCGGAGACCCCGCAGTGTCCCCAGGCGTGTCCTGGCCCAGCTCCCATATGCAGAGACTGCAACAAAGTGACATAGCTTTGGTCCAAAGCCATCTGGAAAGAAAATAAATCACTGGAGTGAAATGAAGTCCTAGACAGCTCCCCTTTTTCAGGGGCACAAGGGCAGAGCAGCCTGGGAAAAGGCGGAGGGCTGGGCGCTCTTGGTGGCTGGCCAGCCCATGAGACAGCCATAGTCCTCAGGACCGGCACTCTGGCCAGGGGACAAGTCTTCATCATGTTGTTCCCAGCTGTGGGGAGTTCAGAGGTGGACTCAGGCTCAGTCTTCAAATCCTCCAAGAGATCCTTATCATCAGCACCAATGCCATTCCATCATCTATGTCATTCTCGCTCCTTGTCAGTTACAAAGCACTTTATACAGTTTACCCATTTGATTGTGGGAGACAGGACATGCTTCCATGAATATTCCCATTTTATAGATAAGGTTGACCATTAACCACAAAGAAGTCCTCCTTTGTCCCTCCCCAGACACTGGCATCATTTGTTGCTGAGTCAGGTCTTGGGAAAGTGTGGGAAGACAGCTCTCTGACAGCTGCCTGCAGGTAATTCATATCTAAGGGAAGCTGCACTGATGGGAACAGGTTCACAATGCTATTACATTGTCTCTGAGAGGTAGAAAATCTCCCTAGAGGTGTAGAGAGAGAAGATTGATCTTATTGAGGTGAGGCATATTCCTCAATGTAGAAAATGGAGCTCTACCCAGTGAATATGTCTCCCTTTCCTCCTCCCCTGACAACCATCATAGAAAGTTTTTATAGACGGAAAGCCTTTTCTTGACTTTTTAACAATTGTTGTTGTTGTTGTTAAGTGCCATTGAGTCAATTCCGACCCATAGCGACCCTGTACAGGGTTTCTGAGGCTGTAAATCTTTACGGGAGCAGAACGTCTCATCTTTCTCCCGCAGAATAGCTGGTAGTTTCGAACTGCTGACCTTAAGGTTCGCAGCCTGATTCGTAACCATTACGCTACCAGAGCTCCTTTTTTAACAGTAGTGGTCTCATATAATATCTGTCCCTTTGTGATCAATTAATTTCATTCAGCATAATGTCCTCCAGGTTTCTCTATGTTACATGATGTATTGCAGATTCATTCTTCTTTTTTTTTTTTTTAAGTTTTATTGTGAATTATGCGATAATTTACATGGGAGAACATTAGCTTTACATGCATCCTATCTTATTTCATTTCATTGCAATGATTACAATCTCCTGCATGCATCATCAAACAACCAAAGGGTACAACCCACAAGCCTACCCCCCATCAGCACATAGCCCCTCTCCCTCCCTGAGTCTAAAGTTTGTAGCTGCTCCATCTCTCCATGTCATTGTCTCTGCCTCCATCTCTGGTGTCACTGCTTTTCTGGATAGGGTTCCACACTTCGTTTTTCTCCCTTGATGCTTCCAGGGACATCCTCTCCTGGACTGCAAAATCTACCACTCCCCTCCTTTTGTTACAAAACATCTACCTTTACCTTTCCAACACTCACAGTCAGTCCTGATAGCAACCATTCACTACTGAACCACAAGAGTCTTATCCTCATCTCCTTTCATCAGTCCCATCCAGACAGGATGGAAACCACTCAGTGGAGATGCTACCTTTCCCCACACCCTCCAGAACTAAGTTCCCTATTGAAAGCTTGTAAGCCAGTCAATTCCTGCCTTTGTAGCCACACCCCCCCGCCCCAGTTTTGGGTAGCCAATG